TTTTTCGCTTGAGCGACGATAGTCTCGCGCGAGCGATATCCGATTCAAACATGTGGTCACCCATGTTACATTATGCGGCTAACTTTGATCGACGTTTAGCCCAAGGTCAAAATTCGCTCAAGCGATATTGAAAGCGCTCGAGCGACACAACCTGCAAAAAATTGTTGTCAAAGTGATCGATCATATACCACTTATAATCGATCATATACCACATATGATAGCGGTTCCAAATTAACCGCTATCTAAGACCTAATTTTAATAGCGGTTACTTTGAGAACCGCTCTCTTTAGTGTGTTTAGATAGCGGTTCTGGGAACCGCTATCTAAAGTCCCAATATAAAAAAAAATTATTTAAGTTTGGAAATGCCAGAACTATTTAAATATTATTGGTTTGTTATATACTGAAATGTCTACAATTAGGTTTGCTTTTTTTGAAGGTAGTATTTTAATATTATTTTAATATAGAACCGATGATTGTTACGTAAATGTATGGACCATCAACTGCTTATAAATGCATTGAAGAAATTAAAATTGTTGTTACATTGTTATATTTACATCCACTGCTTATAAATGCATTGTTATATTTACATCCACTGCTTATAAATGCATTGAAGAAATTAAAATTGCTGTTACATTGTTATATTTACATCCACAACTCTTACAGGATCAGAATATATAGTCTACACTACTGTTGCACGTCTATGTGCTATCATATATACTCTAACAAAATCAGAATGTATAGTCTACACTGCTATGGCACGTCTATGTCCTATCATATATGCTCTAACAAAATCATAATGTATAGTCTACACTACTGATGACGTTATCCAGCCAACAAGACATTGAATAAAAAAAAACACTCGTCAATCAACATGTGCAGTTGAATGTCATGGAAACGTCACTAAGTTAGTTGTGGTCTAAATAACACTGCAAAATTCTATGTTGTAGATATTAACACTTATGTCCTGCAAGTTGAAGAAGAAATCATTAGTATACATCAACGTAATGCAATTCTAAACTAATGTAATATTCATTGTTGACAAAGTATTTTATTAAAAAAACAATGTTTCCAAACCATTTAGTTGAGGAAGACAATTGTGTGCCATCAACATTACTGTCAAGTGATGTCAACAACGACACAAAACCAGAGGTACCCAATGTTGATGGCTGCAAAGGGCAACAATTACATGAGTTTTGACATATGACTTTACTGCCATTTTACATAACATATACTCGCATAAACAAGTATATCAAGCCCACAAATAAATTCAAATGAATTGCATATCACACTTTAAATAAAGCAAATTCAATTCAACAATCACTATAACATGAAATAAATTTCATTTTTGACACACACCAATCCGGATGACCGATAATCAACATGAGTTTCTATGTGAAGGGTTGAGTTTAATAACTCGGGCGAAGTTCCTTCGAGTGTTCCCCGTAATGGCGAAGATAAGATATTAATAAACTTATGAAATCATCCAATACAAAATAACATGACAAGTTGTGGATATAATACTTACAATATTTGTGGTGCACGTGTGCTGGCCTTTATTTTGTAACCTTCGCGTTGCCATTTTTTCACTTGTTGACACCTTTCGGAGTGAACGTGGTCTTCCTTTCCTTTTAACATGCAACGGGCTACGAATGTCAATGGCAACGTTGTCAACATATAAGCTTTGTGAATCTGTAGGAGTATTACTTTCGCAGATATTGGTATCTATTTCAGTTTGAGAACGTTCAGCAGTATGTGTTGGAGCAAATTTACTCATCATTTCATGCAACATGTCCGTCTGCTCAATTGACTCGATGCAACTTCAAGCAATCTCATAAAATCTTTTGCACAAGTCATCGTATCGTACAATCTGCGGTTGCCTCTCCTTGACATTGTAGGTGGTTTTCATATAAGTATGCTTCCTTCTCACATTTTTACTCCATCTACTTAAAATGTATTTGCAGGGAATCTTTTTAACCCTTTGTTGAGGAAGGATGACCAAACAATGTCGGCAAAGAATACCTTTGAATTCAAATAGCAAGCACGTGCAACTGACATTTTGGTCATCACGGTTGAAACTTACCTTGTACAGGTGTTCTTTGGAATCTTCACCGCAAATACGTTCTTCCATAACGTCATAAAACCAAGCAGATCCAAGGCAAGACACATGCACAACACTGCAGTTAATTTTTCCTCTAAATTTTGCTTGAACCTCTGCAAATTTTGCATGTGTGTACTCCGACTGAAATTGCCTCTCTATCAAAGACTGTGATCCACAATTAATAATTGTATGCATGGATGCAAAATCAGCTTCATATTCCTTCTCAGCCTTGTCTTGTAAGGCATTTTCATACTGCTTGACAAATTGTTGGAGGGATGTCATCGAGTTGATATATCCATCAAAAAATGCATTCATACTTTCACTTCGTTGTGTAGTTGACATCCCAGCCCAAAATTGGTTTTTCAAAAAGCATGGAACCCATCTCTGTTTCTCTTGGAAAAGGCTATTCAACCACTCATTGTCTTGTAAGCCAAAATCTGATATGAAATTAGCCCATTTGGATGTGAATTCAGATATGGTGGAAGACTCATAAACAACCTCCTTCATAGCATACTTCATATTTTTATATTCTGTATAACCTTTCAACTTTTCTCGAATTTTTTCATTATATGCCATAGACACCACCTATGACGGGCTTCAGGAAAAACTATCTCGAATGGCATTTTGCATTGCCTTGCACTCGGTCGCTGATAATACCCGTAGGAGCCTTCAATGACATGCAACGTAACCATGATTCAAATAACCAAATAAAAGAAGTGGTGTCTTCACTTGATAACAACCCACACCCTAACAATATGGAGTGTCCATGATGATTTACACCCACAAATGGCGCAAACGGCATGTCATATTTATTGGTCAAGTATGTTGTATCAAATGAAACAACATCGCCAAAGTATTCACAAGCCGCCCTACTTCTAGCGTCAGCCCGTAAAACATTTTTGACCCGATTATCATCATCCAAGTCTATATCAAAATAGAAATCCTTGTTTAAGTCCCTCATTTGTGAAAAATAATTCAATAGAGCTTTCCCGTCACCTTCTTTTCCTAGTGCACGTCTTTGTTTATTGACATAGTTGCATACATCTCGTTCCACAAATTGGAGGTTTTCATAACCTCCTGCACTACTAACAACCGACCGAAAGCTTTTATTGATCCTCACACCTGCATCATCATTTATGTCTAGAGTCCTCTTCACATGCAAACTAATGTTCCTATTGCTTCGAAACATTCTGGATTTCTTTGGGCTAAGAGAATGTGAATGTTCATCATTTATCGACATAATATACCATAGTCCTTCCTTTAATCCAACCGTTATCCGTGCAGGACATGAATTTGTTTTGGTGGGTTGGGTCCTAATTTCAGTAGGTGTAGCGAAACATACTTCCCAGCCCTTGCACACACCAACATGAAGTACCGCAATTGGTTATCTGGCCCCTTCTTTGAACTCCTTGTTTTGATGCCAAATCCTTTTTGTATGGCATATTGTCGATAAAATGATTTAACCGCATCTGCAGCTTCAAAAGACATTCCTACACATGGAACAGAACCGTCGTATTCGTTGTAGTCCTCACATCTGCGTCAGGAGATCCTTCATCATGGCCAACCAACACTTCTTCTTCATGTAAACTTGTGGCATCTCGCATTACTGGGTATTTTATCATGTACACCTATCATTTCTTGGTCTACACCTTTGAGAGGACCATCACATTGTTGTACATCCGCATCACTACCTATGTCATCATACACGGCCAAAATGCCTTCATTGACAACTACATCTCTCGTTTTCATTTATATCTCCCATGCTAGATAAACGATGAAGGATACAATTCCTACCATTGCCAACAATATAATAGCAAGTTATATAAGTTCGTAACTTGGACACGAAAATAGTCAATGTAAATGTTCAATCGTTTATCTACCCAAAAAACACAATTTTAGATCACAATGTAGACAAACTCTAAACCCTAAAAATATATAATGCACTAACTCTCAATAAGCGCGGCCTACAACAACAATGGCGAATGGAGACTGGAACGCGAACTTCGCGACACACAAATATATTACAATGTAATATGCTTCAATGTGAGCAAGAGAATCAGAAAGATTGAAAATACAAAGAACGTACCTTAAGCTTAATAGAAGACGCAGACAGCGAGAATGAGAGCGTAGAGAGCGAGAATGAGAGCGCAGAGAGCGAGAAGGAGAGCGTAGAGAGCGGCAAAAAAACACAGTCAGAAAGAGCGCGAGGTTGAAGAAAGTAGGAGGGAAGAATGAAAAAGAATATGACTTTAGATAGCGGTTCACTCCTAACCGCTCTTTAAAAGTATGACATTAGATAGCGGTTACTTCTGAACCGCTAACACAACACACTTTAGATAGCGGTTCACTCACAAACCGCTATATTATATGTCTTTTTAAAAGCGGTTGTTATTAACCGCTATCTAAAGTGTCGTCGCTCAAGCGAAATTTACATCGCTCGAGCGACGCTACCTGCCACAACTCTTCGTCTTTAATATTTTTTTATTCGATAACACTGTGCATTTAATATTTTTTATTCAGTTGTCGAATGGTTGTTTAAAACCGGTTGTCAAAATATCAGTACTCATTCTATATATAGCCCAGATATAGAAATAGAAAAGGACATTCTAGAAAACTCTCCTCTATCTAATACAATCCGAGTCCAACTGGCAGAATTGATCGAACTTCTTGCTCTTAGGGTGCTTCGCTTGACCTCAACCATCCGGGATGCTTGTTTTTTGAGGATGATTCTTTCGCGTAAGTTAGGGAGGGATTCTATTTGAAAATAGTAGAATGCCACATCTTACTCAACAACTTCTTCTTCCTTTTTCTTCTTCATGTGCAAAAGCCCTTCCACTATATGCAAGCACTTTTCTTGCTGTTGCATCTTTCCACACATCATTGGTTCTGTCCCTTACCTTACCTTTATCGCCCGTCGGGCGTCAGGCATTGTCTTCTGTTTGTTACCTAAATAGAGAATTCGTACCATGATTAGCAGACGTTTCTCAACTCTATCGATTTCAAGCAGATGAGTCTCCAAGTTCCTTCCCTTGCCCCGCTAGCGGACTTACCCTCATGAGAAAGATAGCTCACGTCACTTGCTCCAAAGCCAAAATGGAATGCTTCTATGAGACGATCAGCAAGAACAAATCTTAGGTCAGAGTAGCTATCCATACGGGATTCGGCGATAGATGACTTTTAGCTTATCTAACTAGAAACACATCCATTTGAAATGCATTTTTCTTAAAGCAAGAAAGAAGACAGGATATTATACTTATTATATTATATATATTTTTATATGCCAACTTCTACTTCTTCACTTGAGCAAGAGTAGCTTGCCCAAGAACAAGAGATATGCGAAATCAACCAAGACAGGCAGACATACTAAACTACTACTTTGGATTGGATGAATGGGTCGTTCTCTTACTTGACCATGGCATCGCCAACATGAGTCTGTCTTCGGTGGTTGATAAGCTACTAGTTGGTTTTTTTTTTTCTTTTTTTCTTGTGAAATAACAGGTATAAATGAATTTTTTTACCATAAAAAAAAGAAAAGTTTTTTCCTTCTCCTCGATTTTTATAGATATTTTTATCGATCATGGATCGAGAATGGATTCGACGTTCTTCTACATGGATGTCTTCAATGAAGAAGTTAATAAAAGAAAAAAGGTAAAAAAGAAAGAAAGAAGGGGTGTAGCGGATTTGATCCTCCCCTAACTACTACTCGAATTCATCCCTCTCGGTAAGTGAAGCTCCCTCCACCTGCCGCCCTCTCTATCTCCCAACTTTGGTACCCGAAGGAAAGACTGTCAAAGTCGTTGACCATTAATCCAGTTGAAGGACAAATGGACAGTGAATCAACAGAATCAAGTTGTTTGCAGGATAAGGATTCGACAGTTGAGACATCTATATCTAGGATAGGGGCACTAGTGCTTTATTTTAAAAAAAAAAAGTCAAGGGACCTGAAAACGTAACGTAATAGGCTGCTATTCTAGGCTCGCTTCGCTTTTTCAAGCTCTGCCCCTTATTGGAAAACGAAAGCGCTAACATGCCTTATATTTTATTTAATTTCTTATTTTTTATTTTTTTTTAGTAAAGCAAAGCAACCTTTCGCGCCAGGCGCTCACGTTGTCGTCTGGGTGGAAGCTGGTGGCAGAGCTTTCTTAACCGTATATATGGAATCAGGACTCACCCTGGATCTCCGAATAGCCTCACCTGAAATTGGTAGACACACTGAGCCACCATGTACCCCTCTCGCCCGTCGTATGCTATGGATGGTCACACTAGCCCCTCGATGGCATGGCGTTCCCATTGATTGTTCCTGAGGTCGGAGAATGAAAACTCTCATTCAGTGCCCTGCAATGTTGGTGGTCACAATATGTACCATCCCAAGATGTGTACACTTGTGCTGGTAGCCAGCTTCTTACTCCAAGATAAGAACGATTATCCTTATGACCAAACAACGATAGTTTCACGATCCTGACCAGCAACTTGTTGGGAGTAGGGGCATCCAAGCTTGCCCAACCTAGACATTGTAACTGAAAGTCCTGCCTACTTGTATGTAGGCTTAGGGTAGTCCTCGAAAACCTTCTTCTTTTGAATAACGAGTAGGTTTCGAAGCGGGAGTAAGAGAGAGGTCGAGTTAACCATGGACCTGTAACATGCAGAGACCGGAGTGGACGAAAGGAAAGCTTTCTGGCAGGCTTTCAAAGGCAAGTCTTTATTCATCCTATTATTTATTTATTTATTTATATTTATGGCTACTTCGGTCCTTTAGTGAAAGCAACTGTTCATCTCTTGTAGTTCCTTTTGGGCATCTTCGATGAGTTGGATCAGAGCTTTTCCTTAGCTATGTCCCTTAGCCACTTGGACAGCTTTTTTAATAAAATCATATCCTTTCTGTTAATTCAATAGATGTCTCGCCTGCCAATCCTGTGCTAACTCGGGCGGGAAGGACTCAGTCTCAAAGCTCTTTAGCCAGCTTAGCGTCTTGATGGTCTGTTCAAAATTGAAATCCCGATCTGACCACACTTTCGTCAGTTGATTATGTCAAAACGGGGAACAAAAGACCTTCTTTTGTTCCAGTTTCTGATTCAAGAATGTGTGTTCCTATTGTTCTTGTAATGTCAGTAGAATGAACACTTTAGGAAGCAGTGTACTTGTTAGTGAAAAATCGATACAAAGATCGAAAAGCAGAACAGAGAAAATCGAAGGTCATATGATTGGTTAAAAAGTTGATAAATCGGAAAGATAGTTGGAAGACACCCGGTGAACACAAGATAGTATAAACATATAAATCGAGAATGGAAATCGAAAATCAAAAAAGAGAGAAACAAATTGATGAAAGTATTGATAAAGTATAATGTAAAGTCAAGATTAAGGGAAATCAGACTCGATAACTGGAATCGAGATCGAGGGAAACAATTATCGTGCATAAAGAACATGAAGAATGGCTTTTCACATCGCAGCTAAGGTTAGAAATCGAGAAACGGTTATAATGCACCTGGAACGTGGAAGCGGTTTTTAACTATAAACTAAGGTAAAAATCGAGGATCGTGCACATGGAACGTGGTGACAGTTTTTAAACTGCTCTCAAGAGGTTGTATTGAAGGATGCCTATAAATAGAACAACGCTTGAAGGAGAAGAGGGAATTGACAGAGACAACAGAAACACAAGTGAAAAGTCTACCGGAGAACGACGAATCATGAAGTTTCTGGCGATCTGGATTTCCATTCTCATTGACTGTTTTTACCATTTTCTTTACTTTCCCTGGTAACTTATTTACAATCATCAATTTAAGTTCCTGTATTTTAAATTTTTCTCATTTCCTTCAATGCAATATAAGATTTTGTACTTAAATTCTCCTGCATTTACCGTTCTTGCAATGTCGATTTCCTGTTATTTACATTTCTGCAATTTCAATTCCTTGTCATTTTACCTTTATGCAAGTTAAAATTTTGCGTTTAAGTTCTTCGCCATTTACATTTTTGCAATTTCAATTCATTGTCATTTACATTCCTCGGCAATTTAATATTCTGCACTGCTGTCGCCGCCATCAAAATGAGGGCGATCGGAGCGACGCGATGGTTCCGACTTTCCATTTTTCACGTTTTTATTGGTGGTTACAACGCCTTTAGGTTGTCCGATAACCGGGCTGAACCTAGGGGCGAGGTTTTCGAAAAGGAATTCTTGGATTGTCCGATAACCGGGCTAAACCAAGAACTAGTTTTTGAAGGGTTCTTCTGGAGTCGCCACCGACGTTTTTACCGAAAACATCGGAAAAGGAGTTAAAAGGCGTTGGTTTTCGAAAAAAACCAACTTTGGTCATTAGAACTAGAGTTGGGTAAGGGAGTGAGTTACGTGTAAGGGAAGTGTTAGTTCCCTTACGACGCCCCTTTCGGGTTTCCTATGATGGGCTAGCTAATTTGGATAAATAAATAAATCGGTGAAAAATACGCTTTTACCCTTTATTTTGCGGAATTTTAAAATTATGACTACATGGCCCTAGTTTCTATTGCATAATTAAAATTAAAGCAGTAAAGTAGAAGAGAGAGAGTAGGAACCTCCGAAGCGAGCTTTCTATTAATTCTTTGCAAAAATAGGGTGCTTTTTGACAGCCCTTCACTCTTTTATAGCGCCAGAATCTTTCAAAAACGCTCTAAAACACTCTCAAAAACTCCGAAAATACTTCGGAGGGGTTCTAGAAAGAAAATTTGATGAAAAGTATAGAGAGAGAATGGAAGAACTGTGGGAAATGAGGGGAATGGCGCTCCTATTTATAGGGATTCGCGCCTGTCAGGTCGAGACGGGCCGTCTCGTCTGACAAGGTCGAGACGGCCGTCTCGCCTTGCAGGAATGGCGAGACGGCCGTCTCGCCATTCTCGAGTGGTAAGACGGCCGTCTCGCCAAACGAGACGGTGGTCTCGCCATTTGCACAAGGCGAGACAGCGATCCCGAATCCGAGACGGCGGTCTCGACCTTAAAAGGCAAAAATCCTTATTTTTGAGCCAAAAATCCTCCTATCCTAGTATGGGGCCTAATAGTCTCTCTCAGTGGCTTCTTAGGCTTCATCCATCTTCGAAAAGGAGGTCTTCTGGTCTTTATTATGAGGTCGGGCAAGATTTGGGGTCTACAACTGCCCCCCCTTTACCCGACTAGTCGACTGCTGGCCTGCTGTGCCAAGGAGATCGACTGGAGGGTAAAGGAGTGACCCTCTTGCTCGGTTGTCCTTCAGATGTTCCGACTTGCGGCGGTTGATCTTCTAGAAAAATGTGTGCTTCCAGGATGCTTCTTCTGGCGATAGCTGATCCTTTCGGCTGATAAGTACAAACCCCTATCTGGTTTGACGAGTATGAACCCTCGTCCGGTAAGCCCCCTTTTGTAAGGCCTGATGAGTATACACCCCATCTGGTGTTTGACGAGTATGAACCCCCGTCCGGTAAGCCCCCTTTTGTAAGGCCTGATGAGTACACACCCTTATCCGGTGAAGTGCCTCCGGATGCTCCTTCTTGCGTAGCCGATCCTTTGGCTATGGTGGCGGCTTACTCGCTCTAGCTCATGCGCCTGGTGCTGAGATGTGCTCTCTTTGTCTTTGATTTGGTTGTCCGGTCGGTGCAGGGGATTTTGTTGGTGTTCATCCAGCTTTGTTGGTTGCTGGGGATTCTTTGTTTTTGGTCTTTTGATGATGATCACCCGACTCTTGCTGGTTGGTCGGGTGGGCTTTGTTTGTGTTCGACTCTTGGTTGGTTGTCGAAGTTTTGTTGGTCAAGGTGGTTGACTTTGTTTCAATCCTGCCTTTTTTCGCGGTTTTATCTCTTTTTTCTTGCGATTCTGGATTTTGGCTTTTTTATTGAGCGTAATTCTTTTTACTCTTTATTTTCTTTTGATTACGCTGACTTTTGGAAGGGATAAAAAGATGCATGGAATAAAATTTTATTTATGAAATATTTTATTACAACAGCCCTATTCTGTAAGTGCTATCCCTAAGACTATGGGCTATCGTCTGGAGACGATCCGTAGGAGGGGAATTGCTGGTACATATGTCTCCAGAACTCTGCTTGGTCCCGGATCTCGTCGCGGTATTCTTGCTGGAACGTTGCCCAATCTTGCCGCATTCCCTCTTGGTACTGGTATATCGTCTCCAGTCTTGTGTCGAAGGCCTCCTGCCTTAGGGACATCTGCTCCTGCCTCACAAACATATGTTCGAATTGCTGGCGCAAATCGTGGATGTTGCGGTTTATGCCAGCAAAGTCGTCTGTGTACTGTTGCTGATGCTAATGATGCTGTTGTTGTTGCTGTTGGAAATCGGGAGGTGTAGGGAGATCGTGCATTGCCACAATATCCTGGAGGTCGAAGGCGAAATCCAGCAATGGGTGGAGGACCAGCTGGGTTCCGCGGCGCATGAGCATCCCCATGCTGACCAGTATCGACCCGTTGATAGATTCGGGCCGTTGACTGGAGGCTAGTTCTTCCCGGGCACTGCACCCCCATTTTTCTGCCAGGGGGGTGATGAGGGGGGCCATGAGGACAGCTCCCACTGGCCTGCTCCCGAAGTCCTTGAGGGCCTTCAAGAATAAGTAGCCAGGGTTGCATCGACGCCTCTGGCACATGCAGTAAAGGACGAAGAGATCGGGGAGTGTTACCTTACCTTGACTCTCCTTTCTGCCGTGGATGGTCTCCGCCAGCAGCTTGTGGCAAATGCGGAGGGCCGGGGGGAGTGTTGAGCCCTTCATTAGTGTGGGCAGAGTGGGGGCCCTGGTGAGTTCCTCCCACATTTCGCCAGCGGTGAGGTTGGTGGGGCGTGCACAAATGGCCTCTTGGTACTCCCGGGTCAGCACGTCTTCGGGCCGGACGAATCCAATAGACACGTTGAATTCGTCCATAAAGTATGTCACCATCTTCGTTGGTGACAGGCCTGGGATCATGGAGGGAGTTTCGGCGTAGGAGATGGAGGCCAGGAACTCCATCACTGCTTGAGGGTACACATGGGTGGGAGGAGTCTACAGGAGGAAGCCCCATCCGATGTTGTCGATGTTGGCCCGGACGTCGTCCTCCCATCCAAATTTGGCGAGGATGCCGAAGTCCAGCTTGAGCATGGGATGCCAAGCGTACCCCCTGATGTGCTCTAGGCGAGCCTAGTGTAGCGGTGAGAGCCGTGCAGGGTCTTGAGGAGCAGGCGCTGAGGAACTGCTAGGGCCAGCAGGTCCTCTTCTCTTCCTTGACTGACTTCCACGGAACATTTTGTCGAGAAGATGCTTGGAAGTGATATATCTGAGAGTTGGAGTGCCAGAGAGTTGTGAGGAGCTCCAGGACGCCTCCCCTATTTATAGGGGAAAATTCGGATCTGG